AGTGTCCAACGGAGAACATGGCTCGGGAACATTTTAAGAAGCATGGCACCGAGCACTACTGGGACTTGGCTCTGAGCCAAAGTGTTCTGGAGACAACTGATGACTGAGATATGGACAGAACTCAGAACAACAACTCACAGTGGAGTCCATGACAATTTGCAGAGTTTTTTTTTTTTTTTAAGGGAGAGAGAGAGAGTGAGTGATGGATTAGACCGGCAGAGAGAAGCGCATGTAAATATCTATAGTTTGAGTGAATAAGAGAATAATTGTGCTTTGTGTACCGACAGTACAGGTGTGAAACAATGCAAGGCTTTGTTACAAGAGCTGGTGTCACGAACAAGGATGTTAATCCTAATTACTAGGGTGGACACTTGTTTTGTTTCTCTTGTAATCGTTTTATAGTGTAGGCTGTGCATTTTTTTGATTTTCTGTACCTGTGATACATCTTGACTGCTCCTTATGGTACATTGATTTGATCTTTTCAGTTAGTAAAACTCAATACTGAAACAAAAGAAATGTCACTGTAGTTTGTTACTGGATGATCAAACTTAATTGGATACAAGAATTTTAGAATATGTACGGCAGGCATTGTTGTTATTGTGTTTTAATGGAGAACTATTTTTTTATTATTTAGGCTCACCTATCTTCATATTCATGTCATCCCTTTTTTTGTCAAGGAATCAAACACAACAAATAAAACCTATTATATTCGGGCCTATAAAAAGTATTTAAAGGGTTGACTTTCTTTTAAGATGTATAACAGAATTTCTTAATAATTTTTCTGGAATAATTTAGGGGCAGATGTGGTGTAGTGGTTCGGGAGTCAAACCTTTAAACCAAAGATCTTGAGTTTGATTCCTACTACCCAAAGGATACCCAACTAATGTACTCTTGAGGTGCAGTTAGGCACCTATCCCCGAATATCTCCCTGGTTGCCGTAAGCAGTGGCTGCCTACTGTTCACATGGTGTGTTAGTCTGTGTTCTCTCTTTTCACTCAAATTGTGTGTTCATGTGGACTTTAATGGGTCAAATACAGAATAATATGTAAGTCTATTCTTAATGATGCTCACTTCACGATTAAAGAATACCACATTGCTTATTATAGGGTAAAAAATTGGTTGTAAGAAAAGACAAAAGGATAGAGTGTTCCTCCAGTGGCATGCCAACTTCAACACAGATTTTGTCTTTCTAATAATCATGCACCCGTTTCAGATCCTCAAACTCAAAACTGCTCTTCTAGGACACGTTTTAATCTTTAATGACAAAACTTTTGCAATCAGTTGTATTATTATTGTATTATCATAGTTTTTTTTTTATGGTTTTCAAAACTTTAAATGGGGCTATAAGAACCATGCATACAAATTGGTCTGCTGTATCATACTGTAATCTACAAACTAACAATATCACACAAGTAACCATGGTGATATGGTTCTGTATCAACACTCCTGTTGAGTTTCATTGTTAATTAATAACGTACCACACTGATAGATGTGGCTTTACAATAAGAAAAATTGTTCGCGACATTAACATTAAAAGATAACAAATTGTCCCTGTTTGTAATAAGCCTCAAATGATGGTGCGCAAAATAAAAAAAGACTAGAACTGTTCATATGCACAGTGTTGTTTATTTTCCAACTCAATCCATATTTTTCTGCCACTATTATTTTTTTTCTCACATGATCTTTCACCATTAAAATAACATTTGTGTTTGTTCAGAATAGTTTAAATCAGACCAATAGTTCAAATGTCTGCTCAAAAAGCAATGTCTATTATAGTTTATATATTTTTTATTGTTGTTAAAAGTAAATTCCTTTATTTGTTTTAATAGTTGTATTATTTGAATTTGTCAGTGGAAAGAACCTTGGTGTTGAAGAGCCATGTAAATTCATCTCTTACTACTAGTTCAAGATTCTTTATTGTCTAGACAAATATTCAGAAAGTGTTTACTATATACAGTGCTCAGCGTAAATGAGCACACCCATCACAGATCTCTCTTTAAATGAATATTTTCTACAGGATGCTTTTACAATAATGCATATACATTAGTACCAAAACTGGTACTTATTTCCCCCCCTAATTTCTGTTTAACAGAGATTTTTTTCAGCATATTTTTACACATAATAGTTTTAATAACTCATTTCTAATAACTGATTAATAACTGATCTTTGCCATGATGATAGTCAATATTTGACTAGATATTTTTAAAGACACTTCTATACAGCTTCAAGTGACATTTAAAGGCTCAACTAGATTAATTAGGTTAATTAGGCAAGTTAGAGTAATTAGGCAAGTTATTGTATAACGATTGTTTGTTCTAAAGACAGTCTGGGAAAAAAAAAAATGCTTAAAGGGGCTAAGAGTTTTGTCCTTAAAATGGTTCATAAAAAATTAAAAACTGCTTATATTCTAGCCAAAATAAAACAAATGGGTTCTGACAAGTCAGGCATGCTGCAGCTCAGACAGTTGCAGAAGCAAAAACTACTGGGAAGAGCCCATGGAGGAAGACTACTGGTCAGCCTCAAAGAGATTTTGGCAAAGTGTTCGACGCCTCAGAAGGGGAACGCAGTTCCACACCAGCACTGATTACAGCAGAAGCTGTGAGCTGTTGATGTTGTCGGGCTGTGGAAGGAATACTTTGAGAATATCCTCAATCCCACTGATATGTCTTCCATTTAGGATGCTGGGGTTGAATCACCTATCACCCAAGCTGAGGTCAGAGAGGTAGTTTGTAAGCTCTGCAGTGGCCAAGCAGCCTGGGTGGAAGAGATACACTGTGTACCTGGAGTCAGGTGGAGTCTAGTTCAGGGACCACAGGATTTCATCTCTGCTATTGTGATGATTATGATGTTCTGTTGGCTTCATCAGACATGGTCTTCAGCTTACTCTGGAGCAGTTTTTTGCAGAGTGTGCTGTGGCAGTGATGAGAATCAGCACCTCCAAGTCTGAGGCCATGGTGCTCTACCAGAAAAAAGTCACTTGCCATCTCCAGGTTGGAGGAAAGTCCTTACACCAGCTGAAGAAGTTTGAGTATCTTGGGTTTTTGTTCACGAGTGAGGGTAAGATGGACCGTGAGATTGATAGGTAGATTGGTCAGACCGTTGCGGTAAAGATGAAGCTAAGCCGAAAGGAAAACCTCTTGATTTACTGGTCAATCCACAGTCCTTCCCTCACCTATGGTCATGCACTTTGGGTCATGACTGAAAGTACAAGATCTCAGATACAAGCATCTGAAATGGTTTTCTATGCAGGGTGGCGGGGCACACCCTCAGAGATAGGGTGAGGAGCTCTGTCACCCAGGAGGAACTTGGGAGTAGAGCTGCTGCTCCTCCACATCGAGAGCAGTCAGCTTAAGTGGCTCGGGCATCTGATTTGGATGCCTACCTAGGAAGGTGTTTCGGGTGTGAGGAGGCCCCAGGGAAGACCCAGCACACTATGGAGGGTCTTTGTCTCTTGGCTTGCCTGGGGACGTCTTGGAGGAGCTGGAAGAAATGTCTGGGGTAGAGGGAAATCTGGGTACTTGTCCTGAGACTGCTGCCCCATGACCCGGCCTAGGATAAGCAGAAGAAAATGGATGGATGGGCAACCACATTGCAAAAAGATCAATAAAGATAGACTTATCATGGATAAAATCAGCTTTGTGGCATTTATTTGGAAGGCTGTGAATGTAGCAATGCAGCAACAGAGAAAAGGTGACTGTGTATAAGTTTAAATTGTACCTCAGGCAGCTTCTAAGTATTATCTTCATTCATTCATTAATTTTCTTTTCGCCTTAGTACCTTTAATAATATGGGGTCGCCACTGTGGAATGTACTGCCAACTTATCCAGTATATGTTTTACACAGCGGATGCCCTTCCAGCTGCAACCCATCACTGGGAAACATCCATACACTACGGACAATTTAGCTTACCCAATTCACCTATAGCACATGTCTTTGGACTTGTGGGGGAAACCCCAGAGGAAATCTACATGAACACAGGGAGAACATGCAAACTCCATACGGAAATGCCAACTGACTCAGCCGAGGCTCAAACCAGCGACCTTCTTGCTGTGAGGTGACAGCGCTACCCACTGTGCTGCCTCTAAGTATTATCTCTTTGTCCCAATTACAACAAAGGGTAACGTTTTACAAACGGTTCAGTTTTTTAACATTATGCTTTGTATATCATGAACTAATAGCCCTCCCCTCCCCCCCCACTGTGCTGTGTTATTACTCTAAACACTACTTTTTAATGTATAAGACCATTTTTAAATATTAGCACCGTAAAAAATGATTAATAGTTTGTACATCCAATCAGAATGCATATGCATAACACCATTGTTAAGACAAGGACTCTTAAACTTTTAATTGGAAATTAGTTTTTCACTGTTTACCTCACCTAATAAAGGTATGTCATCACCAACACTATAAATAGCTGGATTAATATATAATAAATAGCCAAAGCTTGTTTTCTAGATTTTTGCCCCGTTTGTGCTATATTTTCTGAGTGCTAAAAATAAAAAAATATAGTTATAATAAGTTAGTTTTATAATAATGTATTTCATTATAAAAAATTTAACAAACAACACCAACTAAAAGGATCACGTGGTGTTTCTGTGCATTGATGTATTTTGTGTGCATGTAGGCAACTGAATATGCGCTCGGCTTGTCAGATATTTATTCTCCACAATGTATATTTTAAAAGTGTCATATATGACAATCTAGATACACAATTTGACAAGTATTAGTAATATAAACAAATTACTCGATAAGATTCAATTATATTATGCAACAATAGACAACAGCTAGTAAAAACTTAGGTATGCAGTAGGACTTTTAAAAACACGATTTCGTGTTGGTAAATCAATTATTAAATTCATGTCTTTAGCCTGACGTTTGTTTCCTGTGTCGGATGGTACTCCAGCATCCTCGCGATTCACGTCACACACACGCACAAAAAACAGCAGTTTGAACAACCCGTAAACTGTATTTTTGTCGTTAATAAACAGCTTAAGGTCACACCCCTTAAACGCAGTGGATAAAGCTGTGAAGTGACGCTTTCAAAATAAGCTCATTTTCCCCCTTGCATTCTTTCCTCTAGTGGGAGCTAAGATGTGAGAAAAGGAAGAGATGAAAGGAAACGAGGAAAGAAAGGGGGATGCGCGAATGAGAACTGAAGAAGTACCGTCGTCTCCGTTATCAAACTCATCAACAGAAGTCGTCCACATCTGTTCTCACAAGATTTGACTCTTGTCACGTGTTCCTGCTTTCAGGTAGACCTCTCGCCTCTTTTTTTCCCTTTTCATGGTTAATTAACTTTGCGACAAACCGAAAGTGAAAGTAATTATTAGATGACTTATTTTCAATTGTTCTGCCTCATACTACATCCACTGCTTTTATGGGTCATATAGGTCCAGACAGAATCTGCAGACATGGTTTCTGCTCAGATTATTGTAAAATAAATAAATAAAAATCTGCAGATGTGGAATGATTTTGAGAGTTTAATAAGTAAACATAACACAATAATAATAATAATAAAACCATTCTTTCATTTTCAGTATAACAGACTAACCCTTTATTAATGTGGGGTCGCCACAGCAGAATGAACCACCAACTTATCCAGCATAAGTTTTACGCAGCGGATGCCCTTCCAGCTGCAAACCATCACTGGGAAACATCCTTACACACTCATTCACACTGATACGCTACGAAAAATTTAGCCTACCCAATTCACCTGTACCGCATGTCTTTGGACTTGTGGGTGAAACCGGAGCACCCGGTGGAAACCCACGCGAACAAGGGGAGAACATGCAAACTCCATGCATAAACGGCAACTGACCCAGCCGAGGCTTGAACCAGCGACCTTCTTGCTGTGAGGCAAACGTGCTAGCCACTGTGCAGCCATAATAAAATTATTTAAGGTTTTAAATGCAAATTAAATTCGAACCATTTGTTTGGTAAATTCACATATATTCTAATATAGCCTACTAAATGACAGAAAATATTTATTTAAAAGCTGTATTGTAATTAAATCTTAAATATTTCTGTATTATTCTATAATATTACAGGAATTAATATAAAAACTTAATAAATATGTATTTACACACATATTTACTTTAGTAAATAAATGTTGTACTAAGGATCAGGAGAAATCTGCTGATTAATTTTTCCTTTCACTGTGGAATCATTTTTAAGGAATTTACAACTAGAGAATGCTGTTTGAACCTCAGAGTTTCATTGAACCGGCAACATTTTGAATGGACTCAATATATGCTCACTGTCCACCCCAACCGCTGTTTCGAAGAGCAGAAAAGTAGCCTAGAATTCAGTTTCAGAAACTGCCCCTTGGGTTCAGCTCAAAAATAACTGAAGCTTTTATTATTTATCTACCAACTGTGTGTGATAAGTGTTGAGTAGATTTTCAATTGCACATAAACAGACTTCATCTGCACTGGTATGTAGAGCAGTTTCAGGAACAATGTCTAAAATATTTTGATGCAATTACCTACTTCAGAGTTATTGAATTATACTGTAGTGTTACATGTACTGTATAGTGTCATAGGTAAACCCATTTGTTTTGTGGTGTTGATTGAGTGCACAAATTCTCGTGAATCTTGTAGGCTACAACACCTGTACACGTCATCAGATGTCTCTTGCTTCATATGAGATCAGACGATCACGACTGCTGTAGTAATTTCAGCTGCTTTATTTTTCGATATTTATCCTCCGGAAATCACTGAAGGCATATATTATGTTATCATAACAATCTAATGTGGCAATAATATATTAACTGTACTGTGCATTTACACCATGGCCATAATCTATGTAAACATAAAAAACAACATTAACATTATAGCGGACAATGTAAAAAGGCCACTAGACTTTTCTGACAGGGTTTTCGAGTGTCATCGAGTGTCAGAATGTTGTAGGACTGCTATGCAGGAGTTATTATTAGGGATTATAGATAGCAAGATTTAGCATTTATTTTATTTTAGTGTTTTTTTTTAAATATGACGGATAAACATGAACGGAGTTATGAATATATTAAAACATGTGCTTGTTCGTTGTAAAAATTCGTAATAATGACAAAAATATACTAATTTGTGGATGTCCTTATCCTATCCTGCCGTTGTGGCTGGTGTATTCTGGGAAACTTTCTTTGATTTCGTGTGTATACCTGAAAAATCTCTGTTCAAAGAGGTATCTACCCCTTTTCCTTAGCCCTACGCCTTCAAGCTAAAGAGAATTTAGCACCCCCACCCCTTCACTTGAACACACAAAACGAGCGGTAAGGGTATGGAGAAGGGCTATGTTGTAGGATTGTGATTGGGCCTTAGTCTCGTACTTTGTACTAGGGTTTGGCGATGCCTTCCAATTTGGCATCGTAGGATGTCTAATGTGAAACATCCAGTGGACGATGGCATCGTTGTCATTTGAAGGGGGTGAGGGGGTGTGTGTGCAATGTGTCTGAAGTGCGAGGAGGGATCCTGTGGTGAGGGGTGATAACGGTCATGACTTATTTGAGGACTGGGAGTAAGATGCGCGATTTCCGGCAATTATCACTCGTTTGCGGCCATCCGGCAATCTCTACGCATTTGCGGGACATTCCCAGAACTTCCAGGAGACTTGGAATGTCTGAATATCACGTTTAACAACTATAGCGAGACGCTATAAACTGTCCGACGTGCACTGTTCACTGGAGCTCAGACGAGCGGATGACAGTGTGCGTGGCTGTGTGTGTGGTCACGTGATGTGCGTTTTCAGTGGACGGAGGGTTGTTTAGAAATGCTAGGTAAAACACGGAGTGTATGTGGATCTTTTTTGTTTTAAAATGCCATTTTAACACTAAGACGTATTAGTGTAAACAGGGCCTAAGTGTGTATTTTTCGCGGGTTTGCAATGAGGGCAGGGCGGAGGATCGGCGATGCCGGCTCAGCATCGTGTTGTCTATTGGCCAACGGCGATGGACGATGGCATCGTCTATCGGCTCAACCCTACTTTGTACCTTTTTTTCCTGGGATTTTTGGACAGAGTAAGAAAGGCTGTATCATCAAGAAGTTGTGGCTTATTTGAGAATCAGCATAGGTCATCGATCATGCGCAGTTTAGAAAGAATAATGAACGAAAATATGATTTCAAAGTATAATGATGTTAAATAAACAGAAAACAATTTATAAGTATAATGATGTCGCAAAAGAAACTTATATGAGATTAAAAATGTAATTTGAGATTGAAATATGAAGTTACACCGAGATTACATTGTTGACTGACTATATAATACAAATGACTATATAAATCAATTTTGTGAACTGAGGTTGCGCTACATTTGATGTAACAATTTGGAAACTGTATTTTCACATTAGAAGATAAATAACCTTTTATCAGTTTAAATATGTGATCTGAGGTTGCAGAACACAAAAGGTTACATTAAGACAAAACAGTTTTTTAGCCATTTAAAGGAGATGGCCTTTCATAAAGTAAAAATTGCATTGGAAGTTGCACTACACATGACATCACATCACAATTGTAATGTGTGTGTATGTGTGTAGTTTTGTCTCTGTCAGACGCTCATTAAGTGATCTTTTATAAAGTACTTTTAATACTATTCATGTTTTATATTTAATAATGGCATTATACTGACAATGCGAAAATTGAACATGCTAAAACATTAATTTTAAAACTAGAGTTATTCAATATTTGCATGCTAATACTTCTGCATAGATGCCTTAAAGGCAATCTATTACAGTATTATTACTATTATTATAAGTCACTGTTTCCCTCTTTTAGAAAACCTTCTACCAGAGATCTTCAATTATGAGTTCTACAATTGCCCTGCTGAGGTAAGACCAACCACCATCTCCAAATATGGTTAAAAAAGTGAAGAACACTAAGAAAATGAGACTTTTTTTCTTTCTTTTTTAAATATTTCCCAAATATTGTTTAACAGAGCAAGGAAATTTTCACAGTATGTCTGATAATATTTGTTTTATTTTGGCTGAAATCAAAGCAGTTTTTAATTTTTTAAAACCATTTTATGGTCAAAGGGCTGTGTGGAGGGAATTGTGTTTATGTCTGTTGTATGTGACTGTTATGTGTGGGAAAGATGATTCGTGTGGGAGGCGAGTGAGGGGGAGATATGATTATAGGGGATGTGCCCTAATATTGTGTGCAGTGTAGATTGAGGTGTTGGGTGTTTTTCGAAACACTGTTGTAGTAATGTGTTAAACTCACTGTGTGTAAAGAAATGGGCGTGATAATAGCGTGTAGCCTTTGACATCTATATCTCTCACCCTGGTATCTGCATTTAATTTGCCCCTGTTCTTAAAATAAATAAAGCATTTTCTTTTTTGTACATCAACCTTCATATGCTTCCTCTGAGCCAAATAGAATGAGAAAATTGAGAAAGAACCAAATTTCCTACCACAGCTATGCTGATGACACTCAGATCTACTTAGCCTTACTGCCTAATGACTACAGCCCCATTGACACCCTCTGCCCGTGCATTGATGAAATTAACAGTTGGATGTGCCAAAACTTTCTTCAGTTAAACAAAGCAAAAACTAAAATCATTGTGTTTGGGAACAGAGATGAGGTTCTCAAGGTGAATGCGTACCTTGGCAAAGGTCAAACAACTAAAAATAAGGTCAAGAATCTTGGTGTGACTCTGGAGTCAGATCTGAGTTTCAATATTCATGTCAAAGCAATCAGTAAATCAGCATACTATCATTTAAAAAACTATGCAAGAATCAGATGCTTTGTTTCCAGTGAGGACTTAGAGAAACTTGTTCATGCTTTCATCAGCAGTAGGGTGGATTACTGTAACAGCCTCCTCACTGAATACAAACCTAACAGATTACTCAGATCTTTATGATCAAATAAACTAGAAATTCCAAGAGTTTAGTCAAAGCAGGGTGAATCCCCCTTCAGCTACTACGCCCCTTGCTGCTGGAATCAGCTTCCAGAAATGATCAGATGTGCTCCAACATTAGGCACATTCAAATCGAGACAGAAAACACATCTGTTTAGCTGTGCCTTTACTAAATGAGCAGTGTGCTACGTCCAACAAATCGCACTATGTCTTTTTTTTTCTTTTTCATTCTTTTATAACCTGTTTTAAAACATTTTTTATCTGTTTTTAATAATTTGTATTTCTATTTTTTAATAGTTTTTATACTTGTCTTTTTTATTCTTGTTTATATAAAGCACTTTGAATTGGCATTGTGTATGAAATGTGCTATATAAATAAACTTGCCTTGCCTTGTCTTACATCGTGTGTGGTGTTTTCCTGGTGGACATAAATGTCAATAAGGTTTATTACAGTACAGAACAACAGATTATAAAAGCCATGGCCAAGGGCAATTATTGTAAGGTACTGATTGTACTAACAACAGGTCAAAAATTAATATTCAATTTTGTCTCTGTCATTAACAGCATCGCCGCTCAACTACTTTTGACTGACATGGAAGACAGCAGCATCCCTGATCTGAATGATCATACACTTTACATGTAAGGTCATATATCTTTGTATTATTAAAGATTGAGCTCTGTTTTCCTATATATAATTTTTTCTTCCTTTTCTAGATCAAATGTGAACGGGCCAGTTACTGATCAGCCAACTATCCCTGTTCTTATGATTACAGACTACAGTTATGATGATTACTACAACTCTGTTGATCCTGATTCATTACCCTGTGTTTATCCAGCGCATGGAGCTAGCATCCTCCCAGTGTTATACTCCCTGTTTTTTGTACTAGGCTTTCTGGGTAACACATTAGTTATCAGGTTGGTTTTGAAGAGCCTGAGAAGCATGACTGATATCTGTCTCCTGAACCTGGCTATAGCTGACCTGCTCTTGGTCTCCTCGCTTCCCTTTCTGGCGCACTATGCCAGAGACCAGTGGATCTTTGGAGGTCCTATGTGCACTATAGTGCTAAGTGTCTACCACATTGGATTCTATAGTGGGATTTTCTTCATTGTACTGATGAGCGTTGATCAATACTTGGCTGTAGTTCATGCTGTGTTTGCATTGAAAGTCAGAACAAGAACATACGGGTTCTTAGCTAGTTTAGTCATATGGGTCGCTGCTGTCGCTGCATCATTTCCTGAGTTGATATACATCGACACCACAGATATAAATAATCAAACTCTTTGTACATCCTATCCAACGACTGATCAATCCTCTTATCATGATTCAAAGACAAATGGAATCTTTAAAATGAACATCATAGGTTTAATTATTCCACTTTCTGTGATAGGATTTTGTTACTCGATGATTCTCATCAAACTTCTAAATGTTCGATCATCTAGGAAGCAGGCTATTCGTCTTGTCGTGGTGGTGATGGTGGTCTTCTTCTGCTGCTGGGTTCCGTACAACATTGCAGCTTTTTTAAAAGCCTTGGAGCTGAAAAGAGTCATACCTCATTCCTGTGAAAGTAGTAAGGCGATCACTTTAAGTCTGCAGATCACAGAAGCTGTGGCGTACTCACACAGCTGTATTAATCCATTTCTCTATGTGTTTGTGGGAGAGAAATTTAGGAAGCATCTTTTCAGACTTCTGAACAGGACACCATTCAGCAGACTGCAGTTCATAAAAAGTTATGTACAGACCACAGCATCTGTTTATTCACAGACTACTAGCTTGGATGCAAGATCCTCTGCCTCAGTCTGAATTGAAGAATTATCAGAAAAAAAATCACTGAACCACCCACTAACCTTATATAGCTTTAAACTACTTCATGTTTAATTTACTCATTTCATTTTTATACAATTATGCAAGATATTTTACATACACTTATGGACATTTTTATAGCACAATAAATGCACTATATAAAAAAAAAAAAAAAAAAAAAAATATATATATATATATATATATATATATATATATATATATAAAACTATTTTGATAAAAAAAGTATTCCCACGATTAGTTCTGCATGCATGAAGTATAATACCATTTTATTATAGGTTTTAATATGAACAGTGTAGCTTTTAGTTGAAATCAGAAGTTTACACGCACTGTATGAAAAGGCACATAACCATTTAAAAAAAAAGTCTGATGTTAATGTGACTAAACTTTTTCTCTTAAGTAAGTTAGGATTATCAAATTTGTTTCTGTTATGCTTAATAGCAGAATGAGAGATTTTTTTTTGAGAAATTGTTATAACTTTTCTTGAAAGTCAAATTTACATACAATAAGATTATTTAGCCTCTGAAAAAGCTCAGATAATGGTGTCAAGATTTTGGAAGTTCCTGATTGGCTAATTGACAACATTTGAGTTAATTGGAGCAACAACTGTAGAATAGTATTTAAGGGAAAACCTCAAACACACTGCTCACTTGTGAAACAACATGGAGGAATCAACAAAAAAGCCAGATTACCATTTGCTAAATTACACTGGAAAAAAAATATACAAATTTTTGGAGACATGTCCTGTGGTCTGATGGAACTAAGATCGAAATGTTTGACCATAATGACCAGTGTTACATTTGGAGGAAAAGGGTAAAGCTTACAAGCCTAAGAACACCATCCCAACTGTGAAGTATGAGGGTGACAGGAGCATGTTGTGGTGCTGTTTTGCTGCAGGAGGGACTGGTCCACTTCACAGCATAAATGGCATCATGAAGAAAGAACATTATGTAGAAATACTGAAGCAACATCTCAAGACATCAGCCAGGAAATTAAAACTTGGCCACAAATGAGTCTTACAAACAGACCATGACCCTAAGCATACTGTAAAACTAGTTAACTAGTTGTGCTTTAAGGACAACAGTGTGAAGGTTTTAGAGTGGCCATCACAAAGCCCTGATTTCAATCCTATAGAAGATTTGTGGGTTAAAAAAGCCTGTGTGAGCAAGACAGTCTATAAATCTTCTATAGGACTGAGATCAGGGCTTTGTGATAGCCTGGCAGACAGCCTACAAATCTGACTTACACCAATTCTGTCAGAAGGAATGGGCCAAAATTCTATTGTGAAAAGCTTGTGGAAGGATACACAAAACATTTGCCCATTATACAGTTTAAAAGCAAAGCTAAAAAAGACCATAGAAATATATGTTAACTTTTGACTGTCTAGAAATTAATAAAAAATTCACAAAACAAAATAATCTCATTATTCTGGCATTTAGCAAATATAAAATCATTTTGGTAATCCTAACGGACCTTAAATAGTAAACGTTTAGTATGATTTACCATAAGACTTTTTTTTTTAAAAATGGTTATGTTCCTTTTTTTAGAGTGTACATAAACGTCTGGTTTCAACTGTATATTATTGTAGTTATAATTCAGATTTATTTTTATTTCCATGTGTAAGCTTTGAGTTTTTCTTTATTTTCTTGCTCTAGGTATACAGTAATGGTTACTTTGTATGTAAATGATTGCTTTATTAACACAACTTGTAACCTAATCTAAAGTGAGGACTAATTGTGCTTTGTAAATCCCTTATAAATGACAATTAAAGACAGTTATATTACACGGCACCAATTTTTTTTTTATCATCAAATGATCTCTTGTATTGTAATCAGGAGATTTTTTTAAAGCACTTACTGGATTTTATTTGGTAGGTGTCAAAAAGGAAGTTTATCCTACTTAGTTATGCCTACAAAGTTTTGGTAACACTAGGTTAAAATTCACAGTATTAACACATCATTAACTAGGTATGAAAACAATAACTAGCTTAATAAACTCCTAATTAGCTGTTTATTAATTGTTAGTAAAGTAGAAGTTGGGTTTAGGTTTTGGGTAGGATTAAAGATGTAAAATAAGATTACACTTTATAACTACTACTGAACAGTTTATATCTTAACAATAGACAGGTAATATGCCAGTAGTTAATAGCATGAATTGTGTCCTAAAGTGTTGCCTAAGTTTTTTTAGCAAATTTTTTGGCATTATCAAGCATTTGTTTTTGCGATAATTCAAAATGAACAAATGTTGGTGGATGGAAACACCAATTGTTGTGTGTTTGGTGGGCTTACTATAAGGCAAGGGTGTCCAAACTCGGTCCTGGAGGGCCAGCGTCCTGCAGATTTTAGTTCTAACTTGCTTCAACAAACCTGCAAGGATGTTTCTAGAATGGCTAATAAGAGCTTGATTAGTTAGCCCAGGTGTGTCTGATTGGGGTTGGAACTAAACTTTGCAGGACACCGGCCCTCCAGGACCGAGTCTGGACATGCCTGCTACAAGGTTATACAAAATGTTCGTTTATTATTAAAACAGCTGGGTCTGGGTCTCCAATAGAAGATTCAAGTGGCCAACCACTTTAAAAATAAGTCTTTTATTTCAAATGTAGCACCTAATTTATTGCAGTTATACATATTGCAAATCTGTAAAAGACCATATGGATGAGTTGCTTTCTCAGTCACTAGATTTACCTTCTCTTTGTTATTAACTCGAGGCAAAAGTCTTTACAATCTTTAAAAATTATTCAAGATAAAGCTACACCCGTCTAAAGAGGTGTAACAGATCGATACCAAAGCAGAGAATGCATCAGAATAAATAAAACAAAGCAAACCATTTCCCAACCTCTGTATGTTGATTTTGACAGAAAAGGAAAAACCACACAAAAACATTTAAAGTTCAATACAAAAGTTCTTTATGGTATAAACTTAATACTTTGATCTAATATACACAAATGTACAAGAATGACAATAATTGCTTATTTTACTGTAACCGATGGGCAGAGATATTCCGCCAGGTCACGGAGTAAAACTAGAGCATAGTCAGGTCTCACGGGTTGTTTATTAAAAATAAAAAATAATAAATTAGGATTTAATCTGACGACAAAGGGACGCAATCTGAGTGATACAGCTGGTCACAGCAGCTGGTACTGACAGTGTGGTTTCACTTCTCCAGGACGCCAAAGCCTCCAGGGCATCTTTGGGGTTGCAGGGAGCCAGGTCATAAATGGCATAGACAGCAGACAACTGCACCTCCTTGGGAACACCTACAATTATATAACAAATAGTGGTATAGTGATTCATGGTTTGGGCAGCATCTTTATATACAATACTTAAAGCAAAGTTCACACAAGAATGAAAATTCTGTCATCATTTATCAGCCTTTACATTTGTTCAAACCTTCATGAGTTTCTTTCTTCAGTGGAAGACAAAAGACGTCATGTATAGACTGTTTTCACTGAGTGGTACGGTACAGTTCAGTATGCTTTTATGGCCATTTCTACTGTCAAACATACCTTAAAACGAGCCATACCACTCTTTGGTAACCCTTTGCAAAGTGTTCCTAGCTTAGACTTAAGAGTACCAAAAGGCAGAGCTAGACGCACAGCTGAACGCTATTGGTTTACAGAAAAACGTCACTCGCGCATACACAAGCAGTAGAATGAAAACAAAGAAGCCGCCATTTTTAAAAACACAGCCAAGACATTACATCGTAATGCTATATGCATATAATAACAAGCCATGGTTGACCCAAGCTCAAACAAACCTTGTTGTTGTCTTGAAGTACAGCCACAAAGCCAAAAAGAACAAAATCTGCCGTCTTTCGGATGAGACGTTAAACCGAGGTCCTGACTCTCTGTGGTCATTAAAAATCCCATGGCACTTCTCGTGAAAGAGTAGGGGTGTAACCCCGGTGTCCTGGCCAAAGTCCCTCTATCGGCCCTTACGATCATGGCCTCCCAATCATCCCCTTCCACCGAATTGGCTCTATCACTGTCTCTCCACTCCACCAATAGCTGGTGTGTGGTGAGCGCACTGGCGCCGTTGTCCTGTGGCTGCCGTCGCATCATCCAAGTGGATGCTGCACACCGGTGGTGGTGTGGAGAGACCCCCCCCTCATGATTGTGAAGCGCTTTGGGTGTATGGCCATACACAATAAATGCGCTATATAAATACACATTACATTACATGTCCTCTTTTTGTCTTACGAGGCCGCTAAAAGTGCGAGCGGTTTCACTTTCTCCAGTGAGCTCGCGATTGCGTCTATATTTGAAATAACAAACTTCTTGAGTTGATGATATTGTGCTGGTGAAGATTAAAGATACAGATGAGAGGTTTGCACTGACTGTGGGCTATATGTTGCATTTTGTTTTTGAACCCAAATAAGGACTAAGGGTGCTTTCACACCTGTGAATCGATTTAGTTGTTCCGAAACAGAGATTAAAATTGTTACATTGTTGCTCTTTGCTCTTGGAGCGGTTCACTTTCACACTGCAAAGTTTCTAATCAGACCAAAAGAGCTAAAACAAGTCACGTGCGAGTAAACTCTCCTCACATTGATCAGCGTGTCAGGGTTTGTTTTGCAGCGTCCCTCTCAGCTGTCAGGAGAGGTGGTGGTTTGGTGGTGATTGACAGGGTGCGCGCGCGTGAAGTGTCTGGGGAGAGATGCGGTGGGGAGGGGTGAGAAGGGTGCGCGACGATGCCTATTTGAGGACTGGGAGAGAGACGCGAGATTACCGGGAGATCATCACTCGTTTGCGGGCATATTACATATCCATAAAACACTGCGATATAACCGCGCTCGGATCGGATCGCTTTCTCACTGCAATGGAACCGCTCCAGGGTTCGTTTCAATCGAGCCGAGACCACCTCATTCAAGCGATCTCGGAGCGATTACTTTGGCGCGGAACAGAGCGCGATTGTCCTGTTCACATATGCCAATCGAACCGCGCTAACTGGGCAAACGAGATACGTTCCAAAACAAAAGTGCAGGTGTGAAAGCACCCTAAATGTATGCTGTGTAGTTTTTTCTGTGATTGGTAACATCGGAGACTGTAAGGGTCTGTGTTTGTTTTTTTATGTTGCATTTATTGTTTATTTTTCTAATTGCAGACGTTACAGTAGGCTATTACACACTGCCATTGTTCTGCAGTATAATCAAACCATGTTCATAGGTTAGTAATGAACATTTATACACAAGTATTAAAGCATCTGTTTTGTGAGAAGTGCTTCGAACGTGAACGACCCGTACAACTTCACTGTGAAATTTCCTCAAGTAAAAATGATGTAATCTAAAACTTTCTGTTGTACACCATAACCACTAAAAGGGTACCCTTTAGGCAGTGGGAACGCATATATAATATATTATTTTGTGTGCAACAGAAGAAAGAAA